AGGTTTTGTTTTCTAAATTGTTTTGTGGTTCTATTAAAACCAAGTATCTTATGATTGCATTATCACAAAAGGCAGCAATATTGCTTTTGTGATAAAATGCTTAGTTTTGAACATCTGACTGTAAATTGATAACAATGCAGCTTCCCCCAATAAACATAAAGTGTTTAGAAAACTTCTTTACAATTCCTAAGTTTTAAAGGAATATGGTCAAATTTTTAAACATGGTAGTCTTGTAACTTCTGAGATATTGTTCTGAGGTGCAATTGTCACAAATATTATAGCTTTATTACAAGTTCACCATCCCTTTGATCAATCTTTCCTTTAAATACACATGTATCCAGAATTATCTGCATTATAGAGTTAAAAAGACGACTCGTCTTTTCTTTACACTCTTTTATATATAGAAAAGACATCCATAGAAATAGGAAAAGAAATGCCTAGTTTGAGGTATTCGTGAACATTTCAACCCTCGGCAAATGGCAAATCTGTCCCTTTAAAGCAAATATTTACATAAATTTATCCCTTTAAGTAATTAGACTGGTATCATGGATACAAACTATATAAAGCAAGTGGCCTAACAGAAGTGTGTGAGCTGTAAGAATGTGTTTGTTGACACATGTACAAAATTGTGTTGGTCATTCTTCCTTTGTTTTAAACACTAGTGTTATTTACTCGGTTTTTATAAAGTTTTACATGTCAATATTACTAGAAACATACTTAAAACCCTTTTCATATTTATACAAAGAAAAAATATTTCCTTGACTTGTGGTTTCTGTACTTAATATTTATCTCTCACCATTAATTCTTCAAGTTACAAAGTTAAAATCCACCATCCATTTGTCATAGTTTTGACCTATTTACAATTATTGAACCTGAATGCACCCATAAATTTAATAATTTCTGTGGCAGGGTGACCTTAGCTTGCTCATCACTCTAGAGCATTCATGCAACTCATACTTGAATAAGTTACATTATGTTAAAAGGGCGATATGTAAATTATTCTGGAAAATATTTCTAAAATATGCTATTTACATCTGTGTATCTACTAGATTAAACTGAATTTGTTTTAAAGGGACAGATACACCATTTTTCATACTTTAGTCTCAGAAACGAGATTTTTTTTAGCTAAGCCAATCAGTAATAGTGATCACAGCTCATCGTCAAAATTTGAGCCTTTAAATCCATATGTGTCCAGAATTATCTGCATTTGAATGTTAAAATGAGAACTCATCAATTTAAGATACTCTGTGATATATAGAAAAGACATATATAGAAAAGGGAGTAAATTCCTAGTTCGAAGTATTTTTATGTGTTTTTCGTACATAGAAATTCTGAAGACTATTTACATATATTCAAGATTAAAATCAACCCCCCAAAATGGTGCATAATGGAAACCTAATAGGAGAAATATTTCTCTAAAATTTGATGTTTATTCGCTTTTTTTTTACAACCAAAAACAAAATAGGGACTGTGAAAGGTTTATGTAATTGTTTTAAAAGTTTTCCAATTAAATTAAAAGATACTTTTCTGTAGATTTTAATTTTAGTTTTTATAGTTTGAGCATTTAATCTTGGACCTACTAATAAGAAATCAGACTTTAAGGGGTGAGGTCAACATCTTGCATTAGCCTTGAGATCTGATAGCAGATGACATTACAAATCATTGGTGATTAAACTACCCTACTCTATGAGAGTATTTTTAACAGGTATAATGTATCATCCTCAGTTGTTAAAGTTCCAATCTGATCAGAAAGTTGTCATTTATAACATTTGTATGTTGCAGAAGGTGAAAGGTTACAATGACTTTCAATGCATGTCTTCACCAAGTTACAAACTGAGTTTTACACTGTTTAATTCTGACCAAGGACATTATTGTCTAAAATATTATTTTGAATAGTCTAAATCAGCATATGAAAGAAATTAAAGTTAACATTTCCTCTAATATGGTATGAATACAGAATACATGTTAATATAATATCTGGAAGTAATTGTGAACAGTTTTAAATGGAACACTATCAAATTGAAAGTAGGTTAAGTCTACTGGAGACATTTTATTTGGCCATATTCTTCAACTTAAAGTAAAATATAAGTATGCATATAATAAGAGAGTTGTCCAATTAGTAGTGAGCCTCACCATGAAATTGTCGTCTGACTTGAACCAAATTGCTCATGGCCATGGGAAATGTGCTTGTCAAAAAGCAAAAAAAAAAAAAAAATTTAGAAACACTGGAATCTTGTAGAAATGACTGTGTCTTAAGCTTATGTCTATGGGTTCAAAATCTTTCCACGTCCGCCTTATTCTCCTGTATCAGCCTCACTTCCTCTGTTCTTCAGACTTTATCTTGAAGTCAAGTCAGATGAAGACCTGCTTGTTGTGTTGAAGGTCTTTTAGTGTCAGTGATAAGAAATAGTTTTGTTGTGCGTTGTGCATGTTGGAAAAAATGTTGGACCCCAAAGTGTTGAAGTCACTGGTGGGGATTATGTTGAGAATTAAATCACTACTTTAAAGTTCAAATATCAGTTTGGGTGGGGTCGAGGGGATACTGGTTTTGTTATGATCATTCATAACCTAAAGGTGCCCTCACATCAAAGTGATCATATGGTTCCATATGTGCTTAATTTTCTGGATTTTTCATTAAACCGCGATGAAAATTAGTACAAATTTGTTAAAATGTCTGGTTGGGAATATCTAAAATCACAGCCCTGTTGCAAATAAGAAAAGCTAATTCAAACGCATCTCTTATGCAACAGAGTTGTGAGCTGTGTTTGGAACTCATAACCAATTTCATAATCCACAACCATACACACGTTATTCACTATTGTGTCAGGGCACCTTTAATACAAAATGAAGTGATACTCAACCTTTAAGTTAAGATAATAAGTGTATAGTGTAGATATAGGTAAATAAATAAGATTTGAATATAGTGCCTATAATTTCTAGGTAACACAACTATTCTAGAAATTAATTCATTAAAATGGTTTGACAGTAAAGGTGATCTTGATAACAAAATTTTCTCTATGTACATTAGATTCTGGTGAAAATGACTATTGAATTCTTGAGCTGTCTGTCCTGTGTATTGGTATCATTATTATTTGCTGTCCATTACATTGTCAGTTCTTCCAAGAAAGGCCTAGTGTCAGTTTTCACCCATTAATACAGCATCAAGCTGATTGAAATAAAAGTCTCCCCAATGCATATACACAGAGACTGATTGACACCATTCATCCCAGACATACAGAAAATTCAGTCCCAGGGTCAAATTGAGCTATCTTGAAATGTGGAGTATGATTTTCTATCCATTCATGGTTAATTGTTGAATACATTTTTCGAGTAGAATACTTTTCAAAATGACTGATTTATTTCAGTGAGGAATGATCTCACTGTGGTTGAAATTTGGATTAGACAACCTCCTTTGAATCCTATAAATAAATTTTCTTATTGTCATCCTCAGTATTACTTACTTTTTGATAGAATATTTGGCCCATTATGCCTTGTAGCATGTTTGAAGAAAATGATTTGTTACTTTTTGGTTATGATTCATAATTTATCATAACATATGAAAGTATTGAAAAAGTATTTGTTTGTCTAGAACTATAACAATTTTGTCTGATGTTATAATAACTGAAATAATTTGTTATAGATCAATATTTAATGTGTTTATAATTTCTATTTCAGTTATATGAAAATGCTATGATAACAGCTGGGCTGATTGATGATCCCAGAATGATGGTTGGTCGAATTCACAGTTTGTTAGAGAAGGCTCTAGAGAAATATTGATACCATTTCTAATTATATAACATATTGATTGTAATGCTTATTATCAACTCTTAACATCTGTCCTAATGTTAATTTTGGATGTAGACTGTAATTAGTATTGATTTATTTTCTACAATAATAACATCATAACCATCATTAGGTTAACTTTATGTTAAAATACATTATGTTATTATTTTCCTAAGGAATCATTGGCAAATATTGGGATATATGTGAGGCATATTTAGTGAATTTTGAAGTGAGAATAACGTACCCATTTGTCTATGGTAACTAATCGTCCATGTGTTATCTGATATTATCTGATGTGTCAATTCAATGTGTCAGTCATATATTCAACAATGTGTTCACAATAATCATATTATTAAACTTTGCAAGTCTTATACAATGATTTTAATAAGTCAATTTTTGTGTCATGCAATTATATAATCATCACTATGGTAGAAAATATATTAAAAAATTTGAAGAAAATCAAAATTTTATGCTGAATTCAGAAATATCCTTTTTAGTTGAATTTGTAGATTAAAATTCTTCCAGAAGTTGTTTACTCAAGTTTTTTTTTTGCCACATCTGGAAACATGAAGTCAAATGTAATGTGGTGATTCATGTCCTATTTTCTGTGAATGAAATAGCAGTAAGTAGGACAAACATTATTTAACCTTGCCCCTTATCAGACAATCTAATTAAAATTAGATTACAATTTTGCATCTATTTTGTTTTCTTATGTTCAGTCTCCATTGTAATCTAAATAATTTTCTACCAAATGCCTGTCCTGAAGGTAGATTTTTCAACCAATTAAAGTGTGTCATGTATATCCGGTTTCTTGATAAAATAAGTAATTGTGGGATATCGAAACCTATGTAGAGCTAAATGACAGCCTCTTTGGGTTTTGCTATTCCACAGTTCCTTATTTTATCAAGAAACGAGGCATGCTTTTATTGGTTGAAAATACCTTTGAAACAGACCTTTGGTAGAAACATTGCTTCTGAATCAGGTCTCTGCTAATTCCAAGGATAAAAGGTTCAATTCTTTTACAAAAAAACAGATCTGTGTATTTATTAAATGACCGGTCTTAATCATGTAACCAACAGATTTAAAGATGGTTGATGAATTTCCATTCTTTAATTATGCAATTATGTTTTATCAGGCTTGCAACTAAATAGACAACACTATATCTCTTTAATTGAATTTCCAATCCCAACTATTGTTGAGCAGTAAAACGACAATCAGGGCCATTATCCTTTAATACAAGCTCAATATCAATAACTAATTTCATGCACAACAGTTCTAGCTGCATTTGTGCAAGCTGACTCACTGGAACGTGAAAAATACAAGTGATAAAAATTAGGATGATAGTTTTATTAATTACAATGAAACAAAATACATTGTACATGATGTGCTGTAACACACCAACATAAACCTCTATATCTACAACTGATTGGCAATATGGTATATATCAAGTTTACTTCTCTATAAGACTTGATATATGGTTAGTCTTGATAAAACAACTAAGATTTCATCTTCAGCTCTCATTGCAGACTTTTTCAGAGACTTGGATTTGAATTTTCTACCAAAACACTCATGTGAAAAAGAAAAGCACTTTCCATATGATAGCTTTTCAGAATTGATCATTAATCACAAGTCAAAGATCTCATTATGCAGACTGAAGAAATATTTCATGATTCACCATCTTGCGTTCAAAGTCAAATTAATTGCAAAGAGAGAAGATACATGAAACAACTTGTATTTAGGGGATACAGATATAATATACACCGAATGTACAGATAAACTTACAATAACTACTTTCAACTAATCTTTCTATAAATGGTTATAACTTTGATCACACAAAAGATAAATACAGTATCTTAATAGCACAGATGGAATGTTATAATCAATTTCTTAACACTTCACAACGCGATAGATGCATCAGATTTTAGTCTAGATACTAAACACTATTCTTGTAACCCAAAGGAAGTGAAAATTTTCCTGACATTTCATGACTTCTTGTAGTACTATTTCAGTGGAATAGCACTTGGCATCCATGAAAAGGGTCTATGTTGATCAGAAGGCAAGGTTAGTCTAAGCAGTTCTTTAAGTTCTCTGCGGTTGTAAAGAAAATCCTTATTATAAGTGCCATTTCTATCTATTTTATGAGTCCAATATCAGAAAATCCCACAATATTAAAAGTTTAAAGGAGGTATATAAACAAATATAAATAGTTATTATATTAAAATCAACAGTTATCAAATTATATAACCAACATTGCTTTTTACTGCTTTCAAAATTTGACACATTGCAAATGAGACAAAATAAGAAACCTAATACTTTACCATGCAAAGGGGAAAGAATACAATTTTTTTTCTTAAGTTGGATCAATAATTATGCACATGATATTGAAGTTATCAAATCGGTCTTTGTTATCATACATGCATTAGTGATAGCAACATAATATCAATCAAATAAAAGTGTCTATTATGAACTTTGGCAAAGTGATAACAATACAATCATATATTTTAGAGGCTTTTCCTTTCAATTTTGCTTCATATCACATTTATCACACAAAACACAATCAGATTTACTTGATTTGAAACAAAAAAAAACAATACTAGGATTTTTACTTACATTGAATTTAAATATATACATCTGTTCTATAACATTTACAATAATATTTCCTTTTTTAAATCAAGTAAAATCATTGGTTGGTAATAAGTTTACTTGGTAAATAGAAATTTGTTCTTTATGGTCACTTTTTTGTGGTTCATAATGCACAATACAATACATTTTTACTCTTTGTTACATGTTAAACAATTGATGAATTCCATTTCCTCATGGCCATTTCATTTTGTAAGCTTTAAACAATAAATCACGCTGAAAGGCATTTATGAACCACAAAAATATTTCAGATACTTTAGGAAATATAATAGCTGGATACAATAGGTATTATATTTACTAAAGAAACAATATTAAATGTTGACAACAGACCACAATGGATGTTCCCTATCTGTTTTGCCACCATTTTATTAATTTGTAGAGGGCTAAATCTAGAGAGTAATCACTGTTTGACAGATAAGATAAGAGCAACAATAAGTCCATAGAGACCCAATACTTCAGCGAAAATAAGGATAAGAATCATGCCAACAAATAATCTAGGTTGTTGAGCAGTTCCTCGGACACCGGCATCACCTACTATACCAATAGCAAATCCTGCAGCTAATCCACTTAATCCTACACTTAATCCAGCACCTAAATGAAGGAAGCTCCTGAAAAATAAATATCACTCTTTCAGATTGCTTATAATGATCAAAGATTCAACCAAACTAACTTGCATTTCATATCTACAGTTTAACATGACAAGCAACTTCTGCCAGATAAATCATTATATTTGGCATCATGTCAAGATTTGAAGGTCAATAGACCACAGTAGGTTGATGATCAACATCAATGATAATTAGGTCATAAAGAAGGAACAGTCCAATTCAGAAGACAATAAGTGATTGATCACTTGACACATTATGACTACTATATTATAATTATAGATCTTAAAACAATAAAGAAGTCAAAAAATGTTGACTAATATGCATTGTCACTCAAATTGCTTCCATTTGTCTTTGACCTTAAACAAGGTCAATAAGCTATCGAATCCCATATGTCATATTCTGATAAATTTAGATTTATTGTAACAGACTGCAGCATGAAGTGTACTGTGACTTATGTTTATTGGTGCAAGTCGCTTTGAGTACACATAATTATTTCATTAACTTTTAGATCTAAAAGTCCAGTTACATTAAATCTTGAAGGTCATGTGCCACATTCCAATTGATATGATGCCTAGCAAATTATGGGCAGTACCGTACCTAAATCTGAAACCTGTATCTAGAGAGCAAACTTACTTATATAATGTATATGAACTATCTGCAGAAATATTTTGTGTAATAACGACAGCTACAACCAAACCATAAATAGCAATAATACCAGCCATGACTACAGGAATAATGGATTTCATGATTAATTCAGGTCTCATCACAGCCATAGCTGAAATACCTGTTCCTGATTTAGCTGTTCCATAGGCAGCACCAAGAGCTGAAAAAAAGGGGAATCTGTAATAATTATGATAAATGGTATGGTACAAAAGGTAATGTCCTTTTCTCCAAATCTAAACAGATTATGCAAATTCAGAATGTTGTCTTCCTTTAGAAATCCAATAACTAATATGAAACCTATGAAATGGGTCAACAAATCACATGACAATAAGCTTATTATAAAATACTCAAATAGGCCTACTATCCATGATAGTAATATTCCTTTCAAACAAATCTTATGATTTAAAATAAAAACGAAATTTTATCATGATTCATAAGCAATCTTGGACAGAGGAAGATCTAGAAGTACCTATCATCATCAATAAATGACAGCCGGTTGTATCCTGACGATATGTTCTTATAATACTCATCCTTTACGGACTAATTTTGGGTCCATCTTATGTCAGATAGATTCATAAATGACCGAATGTTATGAAACATTGAAGAACTGACAGCCTGTTGGACATTTTCTTGGCAATTTTGATGAAAATGTTTCCTCATTTCATATGGTATGTACATTAAATATTCAATTCTCATCGATCGTGATCATGGCTTCTAAAACTGACAAGCACTCGGAATTCCTATACTTACCACAAAAGGCCATGGCCGAAGTTACACCCATTACTCCGAAAAAAGATGTGTATGGGGGAGCATTAGCATCGAATCCGTCCATTCTTCTGGTTATTTAAAAGAATAAATCAAAGGAAAAATAAAATAAAGTGATATGAATTTTACTCCGCTGTTCTTCCACGCAAGATGGCGAATAATGAAATTGTCATATGATCATGTGACTGCTACGCCGACAGGTGCTTGTCTGTCACGAGATTTCATTCGTCACATGAAAACGCCCGAACCAATCAGAATTATCGTTTCTTCTAAGTTCGGAGTCAAACTCACGTGGTGTTGAATTTGTGTGTTGTGATGAACATGACTTCAGTAAATTTTAATAGATTTTCTATGTAAACAATGATTTTATAAGTTCATATATCGACACTACTGATTCTTTTCTAAGTCAATCATGAAATTTGCTTACAGGGTGAGTGGTGATCAATGTCAAAATAGCATGTGGTTTGATTTTTGATTGACTAATTTAAGTTCATTCACAAACCCATGTGAAGGGATGCAACAATGTTGAGCACATGTCACATGTGTATCAAACGTAACAAAATAATAATGAAACCTGTCCTTACAAATCTAATAATGTAACCTATTTATTTAGATAATTATTTTGTAGCTTATGATTACACATACAGGTAGACCTGAAGTATTTTGTATTGAAAATAAAGAATAAAACCTCATACTGCTAAATTACAATATTTTTACAGACTTATTATTTATGGTCATTTTGACTTTGGTTAGGGGCCAAATTGACTTCACCTCTCAGCCTGGTACTGTGACAGCCTTGTCACAGATAAGTGTAGATGACACAGGATTACATTGTTGTAAACTCGGTTAGTAATGTGAAAACCGTGCTGTTTTGTTATTCAGGCTTTTCAAAATGGCCTACACTGGCTGCAGCTAATCATATAACAACCTAACTCTTGATTTCAGTTTTCGAATCTGCTTGGAACTGTTTATAAAAATGGTAACTTAAATTTCACACCTGATGGTAATAGTGTCATTAGTCCTGTTGGTAATAGATTAACTGTGTTCGATCTTAAAAAGTAGGTTGATTAATACATTTTGTATTGTTTACCATGGTCTTAAAATCCATGAAAGACATTTTCTAACAAAGTTACAAGGGCAATGGTTATTAGAACCGGTTTAAAATATGAAGGCATGTAGAGAACCTCAGAAAAGTACCGTTTATTGACTTGACCACATCCTGCTAGTCTACTTTCATATATGACCTCAAAGAAATATAAGCTTACTTACCCATATATGGATTGTTTTTGCAGCAATAAATCTGAAACATTACCAATAGAAACTAAACAGAATATATCAACTATAGCTCTGTCACCTAATGGCTGTTTAATGATAGCTGTTACAGATGGTAAGTAACTAGTTGAAGTCAGGGTCCCATGTTGTGAAATTTTGGGGTTCCATTTTGTTTTACTTTGGTAAACCAACGAATTATCATTCTGTTCCACTGTTGAAAGAATGTTTTTGGCATAATTTATGTTTAGGTTGAAGAGGTTGAAAGATGATTTTGGTCCAAACCATGGAAGCACTGGCACCTAAATTTTCCTAACCTGAAGGGTGATTAGATTCTATAGCACCTGATCACCTAGCAGATCACTCTAGACTGACTCTCGAAAACACTAGCTTTGGCACCTACATTTTTCTTATCTCAAGGAGGATTTTACCCTACAGTGTCTGACAACCTATCTGATGATAATTCAAATTGGTAATTCTACAGTATACTTGTCAATGAAGTTATGTTTACTTTGCAGATGGAGAAGCAATGTTATGTAGTCTAATCAGTAAAACAGTTTTAGGTTCACATCATTTTCATTGTCCAATACATTCTCTTAGGTTCAGTCCTGATGGCAAGTAAGTGAAATCAATTCTTTTATACAACATATGGCTGTTTGGACTTGGTTTAAGAGGATCCTATCTATCAGCTGATATTGGGATTTGATCTTTCCTAGATTATCCATGCCCATTTACAGATATGTCACTGAAAAAAGATGACTTTGCAAGATCACCAAATTTAAAACAACAATTTTTTAGAATACGCAACCACCATAGATTTGTAACCAAACAAATGATGCCTTCTAATGATTCAGACACTCAAACCAACTGCACTACATCCCCTCCTCAAAATCATACTTAAACACTAAAAAGAAAAAAGAGAACACTGATTTTACTTACAAGACTAGAAATTGGTCTGACAAAAATTTTTTTTTTTTGTAGAAAATTTGCTGTAACAAGAGAAAATATGGTGGATGTGTTTCATTCACCAGGTGAAAAAAGAGAATTCAATCCTTTTACATTGTATAAAAAATTTCATGGTGCTTATGATGAAACAACATGTCTGGATTGGACCTCAGATTCTAGGTAGTATTCCTTTATTATTTTTGTAGTTTGAAAGACAATAGCAATCTGATGCATCTTTGTGATTTTGACTTAAAGTTCGAACTTGTCAAAAGCCATGCCTCATGAAACCAAATATATCAATATATTACATTGCAGTAACATCAATCAATCTGAGATTTGGTACGTCTGTTCATGTTAGGCTTAATTTTGAAAATTTATTCTTGTTTTTCTTATTTATAAGAAAAGGTCCCATTTTCAGCATTTTTGCATGTAACTCTGCTTGTAAACTATTATATAGATATTTTAATTTATCACATACTTTCTCTTAAATAGAGCTTTTGTTATTTTCAGTGCTTTCTGTGTGGGATCTAAAGATATGAATACTAGAGTATATGGTGCGGAAAGATTCACTAATCTCATAGTATTTGTATTAGGTGGTCATAAAGGTGCTATCGTTGGTTCATTCTTTTTAGCAAATTCATTAAACGTATCTTTTAAAAATCCAATTTAGAAATATAGAAACATTGAAACAGAACCTTTTACACAGTGATTCACTCTCTGCGATCTTCAGACATCTGTCCTATTTCATCCTGAATCCTTGCTGAGAATATCAAGGATAAAAATAGTTGAGGACTGTTAAATTTAAAACCTTCCAACCTTAGAGGAATTGTTTTATCTTACTTATAAACCTTACTTGAAGTAAGAAATGAGATTTCACATTGGAAAACCCATCGCTCAAACTTGCTCTCTCAATTGTATTCTGTTCTTCAACCATCCATCTTCTGCTCAGATTAACATGATAAGAGATTTCAAAAGATTTAAAATCTAAGAAAATTTTCTTTACATGTATTTTGTTAGTGATGAATCTCATGTCTAAAACACATCCCCACAATAATTGTATAAGAAATCTATCTCAATAACAGATAAAATTAACAGTGTATCAAATAATTTTCCTTAACCAGTAGTAGGTTATCACTGTCAGTGAAGATTCTAAAGCAGCATTATGGCAGTCTGATACAGAGTTATCTGAACTTGATCTTGCCACTATGGCAGAAACAGATTTACCAAGAAAAAAGAAACATGGTATGTATTGTGAGCAGGGTTCAATTTAAGCGGTATTGCATCACAAATGATCCTGATTAGACAAGATTTTATTCATCATGACAAACAATGAATCAAATCAAATTGTATATATTTTGTGAGAATGTTCAGTTTTTTTTTCCAAGGCCTTGATCTACTTATGTATAGGCTACAATTGATGATATTTTCCATAGCTCCTTCTAATTCTCCTATTCAATCATTTGTGATTAACTAATCTATTGATGCAGTCTTGTTATAGTTCAAAATTTCATACATTTCAAAATGATGACATGATGAATTGCTATCAATCTGTTAGATTTTTCAATTTCTTGATTTGTATTTTCAGGTAAAATGGATAAGAAAGGTGTTGATATGGTCAAGTATGAAAGAAGTGAAAGGTAATGTTTTATTTAAAAAAAAATAGCGAAATGAAATTGTGCTGAATGAAAATTATTATTATATTTTATGTTTTTACCGCGTAAATAATGAAAATTTAAACTACTCTTTTTGATTGTTCACGACTGATTGTCATTTATATCATTTGACAATTTGATTTTCTATTTCAGACACAAGTTACGCAGTGGCCCTGATAAATTAACCTGTGCCTGTTTTCATAAATCAACTTGTCTATTAGTCACAGGCTACTCTGATGGTTCTTTTCTTTTACATGAGATGCCTGGTTTTAATCTCATTCATTCGTTAAGGTAAACATAATATACTTTTTCATGGTTTCAATTCAGTACAGACCAGAAATAGTTCTTTATAATTTCTCATCTACTCTTTGAAAGACAGTTACCGTTGAGGATACATGCCCTTTTGCTCGCTTATTACAATGCTGTCCTTTCGGCAGAGACTGACATAGTATACAAGTAATCATCTAGTTGTTGAGATTGTTAAATACTACAAATACTGACTCTCTACTGTTTGAAACCATAAAACACTAGCTCTTGCTGCTATCCTGAAAAAATTAATCTCATTGACACTGCATTCAAATTGAAATAATGTATCAATTTCGAGTATGTTATATTTTCCAGTATATCTGAACAGTCAATAGTATCTGTGAACATTAATCAAACTGGTGATTGGATAGGTGTAGCCTGTTCACAGTTAGGACAGCTATTAGTATGGGAATGGCAGAGTGAATCATATATAATGAAACAACAGGGTCATTATAATAATATGAATTGTTTAGAATATTCTCCAGATGGACAGAATATAGCTACAGGTGGTGATGATTGTAAGGTAAAGAATAATTTTCCATATGGTCAGACCAGATTTCCCCAAAAAAAAAACCAAATTTTCTGTTTATCATTTCTCAAAGGTATGACAATAATCATACAATATGTTGAGAAATGGAGCTTGATATCAAGATAATTGCATGATTCATTTCCAAATTTTGATGGTTTTATTGATGTTTTTGCTTTACAAAGTATTGAGGAAATCCAGCTTTGAACTTTATTGCATGGTTCAGTTTTAGATTTGCATTGATATTTAAAAGATATTTTGTAGCATGCCCACTTGCAAATTTTTGAAACCCAGCAAAGACTTTCATTTGTTCAGTTGATAAAATCTAATTTATAGGTTAAACTTTGGAATGCTGCCAGTGGGTTCTGTTTTATAACATTTACTGAACATCTAAGTGGTATAACAGGAGTTAGATTCAGTCAGAATGGTCAAGTTGTTGTCTCTTGTTCATTAGATGGTACTGTTAGAGCTTTTGATTTAAATAGGTCAGTTTTTTAAGAATTTCCATAAATTTGCTTTTCAGAAATTGTTTACTCAATGTACATTTAGTCTTACCCTTTCAGCACTAGTGGCTTCATCACAGAATAAAGATAAGTGGCCTGAAACAACCATTTTACATCACATTATCGCCCATTATAACCTGTAGCTTCATAACTGAAAAAAAGTAAAGCTCTGATAGGTTAAAGTAAGGGAAGTGCTAATATTTTGAGATTTCTGAGAGGCACAATGTAGATATAAGAATCATCACTGGAAAACGTTACGTTACGGTAAATATAATTGTGCAGAATTGTGTTTTTGAAATGTCTTGAAACTTTCTAAAAATAAAACCCTATATTTTACAGATATCGTAATTTCCGAACATTTACCTCACCCCGTCCTGTACAGTTCTCATGTTTAGCTCTTGATCATAGTGGTGAAATTGTATGTGCCGGAGGACAGGATTCATTTGAAATATTTGTTTGGTCTATGCAGACTGGCAGACTACTAGAGGTATGGTATATATTTTATTTTCAAAATCATTGTAGCTATATTATTGAAATGCCTTCAACCATTGTGAATATTTGACAGCTGTTTTGAATACAGGCACCCAATATTTTAGACTATTTTGCCTGTGTTGCAATAGTTATCTTTGACTTAAATACAGATATAGAAAGAGTATTACTTATAATTCTGAATTTCGAAGTGTAAAGAAACAATTCAATTTTTTTTTTGTATGTAGTGTAAACATTTATATTGTAGGTGTTAGCTGGTCATGAAGGACCTATTAGTTGTCTTAGTTTTAGTTCTGCTAGGGCTATGTTAGCTAGTGGTTCCTGGGATAAAACAGTCAAAATATGGGATGTCTTTGAAAGCAAGGGATCTAAAGAAACCTTTCACTTATTGACAGATGGTGAGCCAAATGTTAATTTACAGTCTTTGGACTTAATCTTTAAATTACATTTAGTCCATAGACTTTATTCACAAAATCTTAACTTAACATGATCTTATTAATTAAACAATTTAAATAATTTATCCAATCAGATTACTGTATTTCTGTTATTTATAATAAGGGCACTGCTAATAACACAATCTATTTTACAGTTTTGGCCTTAACTTTCCGTCCTGATGGTGAAGAATTAGCTATATCAACATTAAATGGTCAAATATCATTTTGGAATCCTTATAATGCTGTACAAACTGGTTCAGTAGAAGGTCGTCATGATTTAGGTTATAGTAGAAAAGATACAGATAAAGTTACTGCCAAAAAACTTTCTGATAGCAAGTAAGTTTACATGACTAAGGATTCATTTTAATATTTGTTTAAAGGAAAGGTAAGAATCAGTGTGGTTCAGCAAGTTCAATGTTTGGTGACAAACCTAGTCACTTTTTTATTTTTCCCTTTTGTTTTTGCTTGAAAATGATGCATCTCTGATATGTCATGGTATGTGCACTACACTAACTGAGTTGTCTTCATTAGTCAGGAGCAGAATAGTAAGATGCAAAACAAGGAGAATTTTTTTGAACAATCATCTCAAATGCACTAAGGACTGAGCTATCATTCTTTAATTTTTAGATATTTTTAGGAATGTGTTTTTAATGGATCTGAATATAATTTCAGATATTTTAACACACTATGTTATACAGCTGATGGTAAATGTATATTAGCTGGTGGACAATCTAAAAATATCTGTATCTATTCTGTCACTGATCAGATCTTGATGAAGAAGTTTGAAATCTCTTGTAATTTATCATTTGATGGTATGGAGGTATGTTTGACTTTACTGTTATCTTTATTCAGTATTCAATTGTTGGCATATGTGGTCGTGTCCCTATATTTGTCCTTGGAAATATATGATTTGAATGTAATGCTGTATCAGTCTATGTGGAAGTATATCAACATATAAAAATTATCTCTGTTGACAGTTCCCATTGGGCAAATTTCCACTTTTCTATAAGAAACATTCAAACATGAGAAACTCCATTTTTTTTTTCACATAAAGTATAGCTGATCAATATCTGTTAACTATGATACTTATGTTCTGTTTTCAGGAATATTTAGACAGAAGAAAGATGACAGAATGGGGTAGTTTAGCTCTAGTAGATGATGCTGAAGGGGATGGTGTCAAATTAAGTTTACCAGGTGTTAAAAAGGGAGATATGAGTTCTAGAAGTTTTAAACCGGAAGTGAGAGTAGCTTGTGTGAGATTTTCACCAACAGGTATGTTCATTGGCTTTTTCTGTCTTCATTAGCCTAGCTTGTGCCTCATGGTACTACAATGTCTTGATTGCTGGTTCAGTTTTGTAAAAATAACAAAAGTATTGGAAAATTTAATTTTGTCATAATGAAGATTCTCAAAGACTTGTGGTCCAAAAATGGATCGAAATCAACACTCATAAAATAGACGAAACATTGAATGTTTGGCCCTATCAGTGATGATATCACATACATATCACGCAATGAGAATTAGTTTTGTTATAATCCATATATGTTGAAATTTTAGGTAGAAGTTTTTCAGCAGCTACAACAGAAGGCTTACTTATCTATTCATTAGATCATAATCTGGTTTTTGATCCTTTTGAATTAGAACTTGATATTACACCAGTCAACATACGTAAAACACTGCACAATAAAGATTTCTCCTCAGCTTTGATGTTAAGTTTTAGACTAAATGAACAGAATCTCATACAAGAAGTTCTAGAAAACATTCCTGTTAAAGATAGTAAGTTATTTGATGGTTAAACACAATTCAAGTAACAAGGATGATTTTAGTGCAATCTGATTGAAATGATAAACAGAATGTTTTATTTTTGTTTTTTCTGTGAGTGACTAAACTCTCCATGCACGATCTGACAAAAATGTTAGGCATTTTATGCTCTTGGTAACTAAATATTCAACCAATCAATGCTTTATTCAATAAAAGATTTTCTTACCATATGTAATATTGACTTATTTTGTCACTTCTAACAGTACTTTTGATTAGAATAATGGTTTTAGTTTAGATTATGACAACTTTTGATCTAACAGACAACAATTTAAAGAAGAATCTGGTCAGATCATAGATGGCAGGTGTAGCAACATGCAGAATAACATGAATGGTTATTCATGGACAAAAAATTGCCCAGAGCTGATGTTACTTTGAAACCGAAATGAACTGTATATCTTTATTTCAGTTGATGTTATAAGTCAGAATCTACCTAATACCTACATAGATAAATTGTTAAACTTTCTAGCTACACAAATAGAATCTACTGCTCATATACATTTCTATCTACTCTGGTTACAAAATCTATTAAAAATACATGGTCCAAAGTTAAAACAACGTAGTCAACAACTAATGGCCACATTACGTACACTACAGAAAAATGTCACTAGAAAATATGAAGACATTAGTAAAATGTAAGTATCATCAACCTTTATTAATATTAATTAATTATTTGATAATATTGTACATGCTCTGATGCTAAGAATCCAAAACATTTTGCCGTTTAAACAGTACTCTAGCACATCCTAGAAAATATGGTGATAAGGAAAAATCTTCTAAAAACTGTCTAGGAGAAAGTATCTGAAGTATTTCATTTTTCAAAAAAAATATTGGATAAAATTTCGCTGGAATATTTGTTCAAATTAACTTTAGAGTTGACTGAATTAATAACAATGCATGACTTGTTCATGACTTTCAGACAGTCATCTTTCTTTATTATTTTAGTCAACCAAGCTGTAAATAGGTTCAAATAATTCAGGTTTGGCCAAGTACCAAATGGTGGTCAAGATCTTGATGGGGCCAATTTGTTCTCCTTGTTAAATAAAAAAAAAGGGTCTTTCTGTAGAAAAATCACTTTGTTCTAAACTAAAACAATTCAGATGACTGATTATGACAATATTTCTGTTTCAGATGTGATCATAATAAATATAATTTGCAGTTCATCAAAGTTTTATCACAAACAACACAAATTCCAGGAAAGAGGAAGCGAAAATTGGCAGTAAAAGATTCTGATAAAGCGACCTCTGCTGGTAGTGAAGGTGAGGATAGTGAAATTGATGATAGTGAAAGTGACAATGAAAAAGATATCAATATGGCACTTGATGGTCAATCAGAATCAGATATGGAGACTTCTGAACTTTATATACCTTAACATCATAAATGAATTTATAAAGAAAATGAATTTAAAAGAAATTTTTGTTTGTTTTTTATTTATATGAATCCTGTGGGCCACTTGATTGGTGAGTTCTTCATAGTATCTTGAGAACGTTTAATAGAACAATTTGGATCAGAGTTCAGAACGCGTTCTACATGTGCCAAAAAAATAGTAGGTGCATACAAAATTCAAAATGGCGTACAAGGAAATAGATAAGAAAATTTTGAATGTGATATGTCCGCTTAGGTACCGTTCGATTTTGGGGCAGAATTTTATATATTGAATTTTCGTTAAGGGATTAGAGTTTATTTTCTTGAAATACCAAATACAAATGTTGCTTGTCACACTCTGTTTTCATGAATTTTTAAGAAAAAAAACTGGGATCTCAATGCAACGATTTTATCACTGACTCATTGCCTTTGACCTCCATAATGCTTTCAGTAATTGGCACCAAAATATTGTCTTGCTGAATGGATGCATACTTTTGAGATATGAAATACTCACTAGCTACATATAAACCATAATCTGTCAAAAACTAGCTTTAAGGCTTAACAGATTACATAGCATTGTGATCTAGTTTATCTTGCTAGGTGATTAAGTCTAGCTTGGTGATTAAAATCATTTCTCCTATTAACACATTTAGTTAATCCAGCAATTAAAAAAGTGGGGATTAGTATGTTGGAAACATGACGTGAACGACGAATTGATACATAATTAGTTGTTGTCTGAATTCGGAAAAGATTCCAAGGGAGGTAATATTTCTGTTTACTCTTTGCAACTCTCCTGTTGCGAAAACCACAAAAAGTTCTACATGAAAACATGGCTGACAATTTTCAACTTTTTTGAGAATTTTTCGGATAAATCGATTGCAAGTTTCAATTGTAGAAAATGGAAGACGTGGACGAAGGAATTCTAAGTGATGTTATTTATGAAGCTCTTAAGACAGCCTTTGGTCATAAAGAGTTTAAAACAAAGCTACAAAAGGATGCCGTTTTTGCAATCGTTCGTGGTATGTTTACATTTTTTATAGTTCGTGTAGTAGAGGGTAGACGAGCGAATATCCGATAACGCCACTAGGAACTGGCTATTAATTTTATTCATATTAGAGTAGGCCCTGTCTGTATCAATAATTATTGATAAATATAATTTAAAATTAAAAAGACTATCGCATTAGTATAGCACAGAATTTGCTAAGTTATTGCGTTGTCACCACTTTCAGTTTTCATCTGAATTTGATCTATGTAAAGCTGTGTAAAAAGTCTTTAGAGTTGTTGAATTGGTCATCATTTCATTACTCAATCCACAAATTAGGCTCTAAGGTTTGAGACATCTTGAGAAGGGAAGAACTGTCATAGCCGTACCGGTATAAAAATAAGGACTCTATTCTCTTGAGAAGACACTAAAACCTAAAACCTTCACAAATTTTTTTTTTTTTTATGAAGTAGGATGGTGCCTCTTATTTATTCACTTTCTTAGAATCTTATTGTGTATTTTTAGGTGGTAAAGATGTGTTTGTTAGTATGCCTACTGGAGCTGGTAAATCGTTATGTTATCAACTACCAGCTATTATGGCAGAGGGAATTACAATGGTTGTTTCCCCTTTAATAGCTTTGATGCAAGATCAAATGGATCATCTGGCAGCAAGAGCTATTCCAGCAGAAACAATCAACTCCAAAATGACAGAAACTGATAGAAAACGTGTTTTGGCAGATTTATATTCTGAGACACCATTGACTAAATTATTGTACATCACTCCCGAGCAAGCAGCTACTGAAACATTTAAAAATTTAGCTCAGAGTTTAGTGGAGAGAGAAAAATTGAACTATTTTGTGATTGATGAAGCTCATTGTGTTTCTCAATGGGGTCATGACTTTCGACCAGACTATTTGAAACTTGGTTTTATGCGCGTAAAACTTATACCTAAAGTGCCTTGTATTGCATTGACTGCTACAGCTAATAAGCAAGTCATTGAAGACATATTTCTTCAGTTAAAGTTAAAGAAACCATTAAAGTTTAAGAGCAGTTGTTTTAGAACTAATATTTATTATGAAGTAACAATGAAGCAGTTAATCAGAGATCCCTATACAGATTTGTTTGATTATATAAAACAGTGCTTGGGTGGAACTTTGCCTGAAAATCCCAAGAAAGTCAGTGACTGGGTAAGTATTCTCTTGATTTTTTTACTTGATTCATGATCATTTAACATTATACTGTATAAAATCAAGGCTTTTGCTATCACTTTTCGAAAACAAACCTATGTAATTTAAATCATTCATAACTTGATGTGCGAGCTGTTTTATACCTGTATGCATAAGTTTACTAAATCTTTTATTTGTGTCGAATGTCAGGAAGAAGTCGCTTCTCTGCGAATTTCTCTGGATCTCAGGTGACCGTAATCAGCTGTAATCGATTACAAATTTTCAAGTAATCAGATGTTATCTGTAATCGAATTTTTTTTTTTTTATTGATTACATCCACATAGAGGAATAACAGATCACATTATTTAGAAAAAATATGCAGACATTTGGCATTCTTTAACATCAAATTTGAATGTTTCTGGATAACTTTTCGTAGTTGCTATGAGCATAGTCATAAATTTACAGCAATAATGAACTACTGTTTGAAGTACAGTATGGTTTAAAGCTTCATTATTTAAATTTAGTCCGAGTATGGATGTGGTATAGTGTATAACAGAACTAAAGACGGTTGTGAAGAGGTAGCACATAGACTGTGTCAAAAGAATATACCAGCTAAAGCTTATCATGCTGGTTTAAAGACTGGTGACAGACTAAAAGTTCAAACAGACTGGATGGAAGGAAAAGTACCTGTTATTGTAGCTACTGTTAGTTTTGGTATGGGTGTTGATAAAGCCAATGTCAGGTATGATATTATCAGTGTTCTGTATCATCAAAAGTTCTGAAGCCATTTTCCTGCATTCTCGTGAAATAGGATTCATGTGCACAATATTGTTTACCTTCGCTTCATACCCTGAAGATTATCTTAATTGTGCAGTGTGCAATGAAGGAAATTGTAGACAGTGGTTGGTTAATCTTTTTGTTTCCCAAATTGTCAAAGAATTTTTTATTTTTACATGCTGATATCATGATTTAAGATTTAAGACATTCTTATTCCATTACAAGTGATTATTATGCTTTATTATTTTAAGGTTTGTAGCTCATTGGACGATGCCCCAATCTATGGCAGGGTATTACCAGGAATCAGGTAGAGCTGGTAGAGATGGTAAACAATCCTATTGTAGATTATATTATTCTAGAGAAGAGAGAGATAAAGTGGCATTTCTTATTAATGCAGACTTAAAACGACCCAAGGTAACTTGTCACCGTCAAATATTTGTTAACTCTTACAAATATTGTAATAAAGGTCTATCTTTTAAGAACACAAAATTTTCTTTCATAACAGACTTTACATTCTCTTAAAATTTGATAGTCTATCAGCAATAAATATAAATTGTGTAATCTCAAATTCTCAAATTTGATTTAGAAAACATATGAAAACTAGATAAAACTCTTTAGATGTCATATCACTTTTAAAAAAATACAAAATTTATGATTCCATATTCTGTATTATTTTGTAGAAAGATTTGGCTGCTGCTAAAATGAGATCTAAAGCTACAATGGATGGTTTTAACAATTTTGTGGAATATTGTGAAAAACCCAAGTATGTAAACCTTACTTGTCATTTATTACTTCAATACTGACAACCACTCTGTATTTTTACATAAAATTTCCATTTGGAGCTTTAAACATTACCCATAGATATTATGGTAGTGAGCTATTATCTAATGTAAGTCTTATAAACCCAGCTGTAAAATAAGGACAATCATGGAAAGAGCAAGGTCGTCAATAGCCAAAGATCAGCTGGTAGACAGGATCTTTGAGAAACTGAATTGTTATCCTTGAAAACTATGTTTGCCCTTAGGCAATATATGGCAAAATAGATTCATGAAGGACATGATGCCATGTGCTATTGAGATAATTGGGGGAGATTTGAACTCATGGCTTTCATATTCTCAATAGAATATTCCAAAAAACAAACATTTATCAAAATTAATATTTTGACTATGTTATAACTTGTAGGTGCCGACATTGGACAATTACAGATTATTTTGGTGATGAGAAACCAGATTGTCAGAAGAACTGTGATGTTTGTAAATATCCTAAAAGAGTGGTTGAAGATTTAAAGAATTTGGTATCAGGATCATTTGGAAAGACTAGAATCAGTAAAGATACTGGTGAAGTAGATGTAGATTTATATGGTGGGGGCAGAAGAGGCCTAAAAAAGTATGTGTAAGCTTACATGCATGGTGAGGGCATAGATTATCAGATTCAACATTCAACATAGAATGGATATTATTTCTCTCTTATAACTTATGAATTCTGTCATTTTTGCATGGTTTTTAACTATTTTTGAATAAAATGATATTAGAAAAGTAGAAAAACAATTGTAATCATGACCAGTTGGGTTTATTTGCTCTCTTTTACGGACATGACAGCTTAAATGACAGGATGAATATCCTGACACAAATACAGCTCCTGTCTTTCCTATATTCTATTAACTACTTTATCTCAAAATCAGCCCTTCGAAAAACATCAATCTAGAGCCAGGGTTAGGTTAATGAGCATGTTAGACAGTTGCTCTCTAATCTCTACTTCCACACCGTCTTTATTAGCCCAAATGGTGCAGAAAAGTAGGACTTTTTGGCATCCCATTGATCTATTTACATGTATTTGTGTAGAACTCTCTTTGTTATAAATGGGTATATATTGTGATTGTTTTAGAGAAAATGCTGATTATGGTGGTGCTGAGGATAGTGGTGATGAAAAAGAAAGAAGAGAAAGGGAAGAACAATTAGAAAAGGCTCAGAGAATGAGTATTATTAAAAAGCAATTAAAGCTTAGAAAAGGGGTGAGCGTAAAATATTTCTTTCTTGATCTTATTGAGTAAGCTATTCAGGATTTATATGGCCAATGACATATTGTTTATGGTCTGCTGATCTTAATGCAAATAATTTGAGAATAGTCCCATTCTAGGTCTTGGACTTGCAGTTAAATGGCAACAGTTCCTCTTTCAAGAATGGAGTATTTATTTTAAACATATACTACTACTGTCTGAGCAAAGTAAAACCTCTTTTGAATTTTATCCATTATTTTCATGTGAATGGGAATATCAGCCTCAGAATAGTACTGTTAGTCTTAGAATGTCTGTGCGTTGAGAAAAATTAAATTTTTTGTAAGTTTACATTGAAATTTTGGCTAAAATGGGCCTCTGTAAAAACAAATATTGAAGACATAATGTGTGCTTATATTAACATAACGGCTAACAGTACGTTTTTGAGGCTGCTATTCCAATTCTTTTAAAAAAACTTTACTTTGCTCAGACAATAGGTACTGATTTGAACTGTCCTTTATAGAAATTACTTCAAAATATGTTGGAATATCAACAACTTATATATTTTTTTGTCATATTTTAGAAAAATAGCAGTGATACTTCGGAAGAAACAGAATTTGAAGCACCATCTTTAGATTGTCCATTAAGAGATTGTGCTAGTCAAAAAATACCCAAATTAACTGTTAAGGTAAATAAAAGTTATATTTATTACCATATGAGAATGGCAATCCATGAGAGATAGTTCATCTCTTTAATTTTGACACTTTCCTCAAGCTTGGGACCTCTCAGCGAGACTCACTCAATCTTGTTTCATTTATATTCAATGCCCTTAAAGCAGCCATGGGGTCCATGTGGGATGGGTCCCATTAAGTGAGAAATAAATCTGAGCAAAACTTTCGTCAGTTCAGCAGAGATTGATTAATTAGTGTCTTCATATCAAAGCTAAAAAAATGAACGTTTTGATAAAGTGTTTGGCGCCTAAAAATTGAGTTCTCTGGTCTTCTAATTTTCAAATTTTATGGGGAAAGGCCCCCGGGTAATAAACAGTTTAGCTCAGAGTCAACGGGCCTCAACCACAACATTTCAGCACAAGATCTGAGCCTCAGCTCCATGCATTCCTGGCGACGTGGGCTGCATTGAAGTAAAGATTTAACATTAATGTCTTTTACTTTCAGACAAGAGAACATTGTTTTTCTATGTTAGAAAAGGGTCTATACCAAAACTTTATTACCTATTATGAAGAAGATTCTGATAAATTACGCTCCAGGGATTACGAACCACGGTGTTGTGCCTTAGATTTAGAACATAAGATATTTAAATCCAACAAAATTGCTGTTATGTATAAATCCTCAGTGATGAAAACTGTTTCAGAAATACGTAGATTGACACGAGAAAAAGAATTACATACCTCTATATTTGGAGAGTCTGCAACTCCTACAGACAATAATGAAGATTGTTTGCATGATAGTTCTAATGATTCTGGAATGATTTCTGTGGACTCTGCGTTTGTGACGGCGTCATCATTGTTATCCAAGGAATCTAAACCTAGCACATCCATGTCTGGATTTGTAAAAGCATCTTCTCTAGTCAAAACAAATTCCACTAGTGATATGAGCAAAAATACAACGAAAAGTAGCAATTCACCATCGAAACAAAAACATTCAATATCTAGAAGTTCTAGTAAAACAAGCACATCGGAATGTAAACAAAGCTCAAAATCAGATTCAGTTGAAAGCTCAAAATTAGACTCTAAATCAGTGTCAAAGTCAAATTCTAGTTCAAGCTCGAAATCGAAGTCAGTTTCAAAGTCAGAAGCTAGACCAAGCTCAAAATCTTCTCCAAAGACAATACCACCTCAAATAGTGTATTTTTTTGAGAAATTGCCTAAAAGTGATGAGTATAGTGACAGTGCTAACAGTAGTACATATGATACAGAAACTGAAAGTGACAGTGATAGTGATATGAAAACTAAGACATCATCAGACAGTGAATCCAAACCTAAAAGTAATTTGTCCACAGCAAAGTCCATTCAAAAATCTAAAATGTCTGTGTCTTTTGGTGAAAATTCAGAAAAATTATTCACTGATGATTCAAGAAAAAGGACACATTCAGAGGTTGGTTCTTGAAATTTTATTATGTCACCAGATAGGACAGGGCGATATAACAATATCACAATAAAAACTGGTATAGGATTTTACATCATTAGTAATATCACCTGATTAAAATATACCGAAATATCACCATATTGGGATATACAGTAGTTAACATTATATATCATCAAATTTTTACATTTAAACATTTTAGATAAAAAAGAAAAACATTTTGTAACAAAAACCAGTAAAAACCATACTTAAGAAATATTGTAATATATACCCATATCACAATATATTAATGTTTGATATTGAGATATCAACTTGAACTAATATCGCCCAGCCCTATCATCAGATGTTTATTTAGTCACTGTCCTAGTTACTGGGGTAAAAATTTGACAGTGAATTTTCTAATTTTAAAATAGCTGATTTTAAAGATCAGACAGAGTAGGGTGTTTTACTTTCCTGGCAAAACCTCCCATATTGCACACTGCATGGTGTTACCTTTCTTCATTAACCCATTGAGTGCAGAAAAGTAGGTCGTAAATCCCAGATATAAACTCAAACATACTTTCAACTTACCTATGTATGATTAACATTGCTGTGAAGATTTCCAATGTCTCTCTTCGTCTCTCTACATAATTATGCTACAAGATACCTGTAATGTCTTGAATTTGGTTTTTCTCTTTGATAGAGTTCTTCACCATCAAAATCTCCAGACAAGAAAAAATCAAGAAAAAGCAGCCCACCTCCTATTGGTAAATCTAATAGTTCAAGAGACCACAAACATTCTTCATCATCATCTTCCAGACATAGGTCTCACAAATCTAAACATTCTAAACCATTTAAAGTACCATTTAAAACAAAGAGTCCTGTTTTACCAGAAATTCCACCATGTAAAGTTATAGATACTAAAGGTGCTGCTGGGCTAGTAGTTAGATATTTAACTCCATATTATCAAAAAGGAAGATTTGCTTCAAAGGTATGTGTTATTAATGAAGAAATGCTAAGAAATAAATATAGCCTTAAATTTATTTCATATTTGTCATAAATTTAAAAAATCAGTTTCATCTGACAATGGCTACATTTTCCATATTTTGCTCAATATTGCTGACATTTTCATCTGAAATATTAATATTTTCAGGGATTATTTAAAGCTGCTGCTAAGATTATTACAGAAGAGTTAACACAATCTATAAGAGGCTTACCTACAACAGGTATTTATTTTATATTCAGTAAAATACAAGATTAGTAGTGGGTATTTGATCTGGGATCATTGAAGAAGAATGACACCCAGGTTTCTGGTTAGAGAGTACATGTATTTTCTCTCTGCTTTATTAGTAGTATATAGACACAGCTTTATGGAACAACAATCACTGGTTAAAGTTTTATATAGTGTCTATATATCGTACTCACAATTGCTAAATGCCATTCAAAGACTTTATACCAGTAGTAGTTGCTCTTGTACCAAAACAAATTTTTTAATCGTCTCAATATGAGCAAAATTATCCAAAGTTTTTTTTGGCCAGAGTCTTGTAACTCGAAAGTTTTAATTTTGAGTACCAATAAATTTAATCTTAAAAAATTCAATCTTAAATTTAAAACTACAAGTATGTCAATTTCCTATAACGTTTTATTTTATCATTTCAAGTCAATCATTTTATCATTCATTTTCATAATCCTATTTCATCCTATTTGTCATCATATCATCATTTTCGTTAAAAACCGATTCAATCATTGTCATCATTTTCATTAAAAAAACGATTCAATCATTATCATCATTTTCATTAAAAAACGATTTATTCATTATTATCATTTTTCTTGATTAATTATTCACATTCAGATCATTTCATATTTATTCTGCATTCTTTTTCATTCAAACCTATTTATTTTTGTTTCTCTTTATTTACATTATTATTTTTCCAGATATTTCAAAGACAACTTGTAAGTGAATCAAATAAATTTATGATATTTATATATATATATATTCTAATTCTATCTTCTTTTTTTTTCTTTTTGTGTTTCTTGCTCTCAGTTATGTATTCATTTCACTAATTTAGTACTCTTGAGAGGATTTCTTGAACATGTAGGGCTTGCTCACTCACTCACTTCTGGGGCACATGATGTCACTCTGAAATTGAGCTTGTCAGTCAGTTAATTATCAGAGAAGTATAGTAATGTATACCCAATAAATTGAGAGCAAGAAATACTGTAGCTGTTGTGTGTTGGTGTGCTTCTATCCTTTCTTTTCCTGTCTTGTAATAGTCTTCTTCCTGTACTCTGTTATCTTCATCATGTAAAGCTATTATGAGCTGCATCTAATACCTTGACTATCATGAGGCACTTTTTGTATAACAGAAGTTTGTAAATCTAGTGATGTGATTGGATGGTACACAGAGCCCTCTACACTCACAACAGCTACCGAGGTCTCTGATAGGGCCGCATATAATCCAATCAAATACACAAGAAAAGTGGCTAGTGGTGTCAAGGTATTAGTATAAGTTGTAATAGTTTGACATTGTGAAGATGGTTCTCTGTAATATGCTTATTGACAAAACATTAAACTTAGTAGTGACATGGTAAGTATGCTTATGTAGTAATCCACTTTAATCATTCATTCATTTTATCATTTATTCATTCATTTAAAATCATTTCATTATTCCATGATTCAGTATTTTCACTTATTAAAAGTGGAATGTTATTTTCAGTGATCTAAAGCAAATAATAGACAGGAATCTGGTTATTTTTTACAATATGAAAATTAATAACCCTTGTTGACAGGTTCATAGATTGTAAATGAAGTGATGAATGTTATTTGGACTCTGGTTCCAATTTTGGGCCTGACTAATTACTTCTTAAGGCTCCACCTATTGCAGACACAGCTTATCATTATAGATTAGTCCATATTTACTGCACAATTGCTAATCTTAGATGCAATTCAAAATTATTTAAAGACTATGAAGTTGTATTTTTTTGGCATGTGTGGTGCATGTCTTGCAGAAGAAACATGTTGTTCTGTGTATGCTTTTAATGCAATTATTTTTCTAATAAATTTTGGTATGGATCCATCTTTTATTTTGTGTGTGTGTTTTGCCATTATTACATATATTCTTTTTAAAATGATAAAACTATGTATATATATAATTGAATTTATGATTCTTTGAATTTATTTTAATGTTGAAGATTATTATAGGGATAAGAAGAAGTCATTCTTTTTTGTTTGAAAAAAAAAATTTGTATCATATTATATCAACAAGTTGTTTGCTTGTGTCTCTGTTTTAGCGCTGTCCATACTCTTCTAAAACTGATTTTCCAATTCACATACATATAATTGGCAAAATTAAGGGATTGTAAAGATTTTTAAAATTATTTGTGTGTATCAGGGACACTGACAGCATCAATTTGCACCATTTCAATCAGACATCTGTGGTTCCTGCAATTCCATTAAAACTAAGTGTTTGATGACATCACTAGCTGACTGAAAAGGGAATTGTACAAATTGATGCTATCAGTGTCCCTGATACACACAAATAATTAACAATCCCTTTAATCTTTTTACTGTATCTTAGGTAATAAGAAATATCGTTTATATCCTTTTTTTCTGCTCGGATTGAGACTAAGAAATTTCTATCAGGGTGACCCCTTAAATAATTTATACTAATTTTTAACAAAATTATTGTAATTTAAATATTCTGATATATATATTTTCAGGTAAAGAAGAAGCTAAGAGAATAGTTTCTCAGTTTATTGGTGAACATGATAAAATATCAACTCTACAAGATTTAAATACTTGGGTTAAAAAATAACTCCAATGGTGACATAGTTCTTTTTTAAAATAAATTCATCGAAAAATATATCAATTGTGATGGTAGACATCTTCACAATTTCAAGCCCTGTCCAATAACTTGATATCAATAGGCACTATCTTGTATCATGGAATTGATTGGATTATACTCCAATAGAAGCCCTCAACATAAAAATTATGCAGCTTATTTGTTTCCAGTTCTTCTGTCGAGATCTCTGAGTCACTGTATTCACTATCCAATCAATTTGTTGAATTTACAAACGTGCGTGCGTAATACAAAAAAAAGTGTATTATGATGTTAAGGTGTTGAATGTTTGTAATATCTGGACATTGTGAAGATAAATAATACAGCAAAGTAGTGGCAGTGAACTTCTGTAGAATCAGCATGTTTTTAAAGGTGGACAATCTTTTTCTAAATTTTATACCACCATTATTATGTTTCCCATAGTTTACGTCTATTTGTTTGTTAAAGGAATGATGTGATATATTAAGAAAATAAATAGTTGTCTATTATGGTAATGTTTTAATGTTATGGGCCTAAGTTGTGATTAGTCATCAAACACTTATTTTTTGTGGAATTGCTGGAACCATAGATGTGTGACGAAGATTGGAATGGTGCAAATTGATACTATCAGTGTCTCTGAAACACATAAAAAATTAAGAAAACCACTTTACAATCCCTTTAATTTTGTTTTGATGTGTATTTATCATATAGCAGTATTTCTGATCTAAAATTTATTTTAGAATTTTTTCAAATCCATGACAAAAGAATAACATGAAAATGGCATGATCTGAATATTTGCTCTCAATTAAATTGCAGGTGTAAGCTAAGATAATTTTGCTGACATGGGTCTGATTCTAAACATACAACTTGAGCAGCCCACTTTATATTTTGGAGTAGAATTGGTTTCAAACAAGCTAGACCTTTTTCTGTCCACTACTGAATGCAGCAAAAAAAATGGACAATGTTTTGAATCACACACAGATGAGCAAAAATTTTATATCAACTACAGTATATTGTCTCCCATTATTTTGATAAATAACGACATTGGTAAACGCCTCCTAAATGTTGTAGCCCTCGTATTTCAGCCATTCATAATGCTTTTCAAAATTAACATCAGGCTCTTCATCAATTTAATAAATATGGATTGGCATAAATGGTCAAGCAAATATATTTTTGCATTTTATTTTAAGGTAGTGTAATGGACACAATGATCCAGGGCTGGACGACATTGGTTCAAGCAGATGTTACGATAAGGGTATATTTAGCAAAATTATTGAAATATGATTTTTGCTGGTTTTTTTAAACTAAATGTTGGGTTTTTTTTCTATCTAAAATTTTAAATGTCAGGAAAACAATATATCTTAACACTCCAATCATCAATATCATGAAGAAAACATCTGTTTCAAATATCAAGTTACTTGTTTAAATTGTGTAGATGATCTTATCTGGACAAAACTTTGATGATATATCATGATAAGTACTGTCGACCATATATCACAATATGGGGTATATGCGAAATTAATTCTAAATTCCTATGCCAGTATATCGGGAACGGGAAGTGTTTAAATTTGACCCAAATGTGCAAAAATTATTAATAAAACAACTCAAGTATTTTATATCAATTTTATATCATGTCTTAATTAAATATAAATACAATGCATGTCTAGACATTGTACTGTAACAAACAAGCATTAGAAAATCCCCTCATCTTTCTTCTCATTTTCCTAGTTTTACACACCTGAAATAATCAAATACAATATTTCAGAATCAACTTGGGACTATCAGCAAAAATTCATTTTTCCTTCAAACCAATACAAGTTTTGTCTTTTTGGTAGAAGTTTTCAATGACTACTAACAACTGGTATCATATGCTAGTGTCCGCACCACATGGAACTGAAAATTGAAGTTACGCGTGTCTTTCTTTCTATTAAATATTTAAATGGACATTAGGTCTGAGCAGTTGGAATCTGTTGATCACAGTTGCAACAGTTGATGACGTGTGAATCTGCAGTCTAACTAAAAAAAATAAGATTACAATTTTTTTCGTTATTCTCTCCATTATAATCTAATGAAATTTATACAAAAGGTCATAAAGGTACTGGTGACGTTTCAAGCAATTTAGAGCAGACAATCAGATGCTACTCACTGCATGATGCAATGTGATTGTTTGAAATGAACATCAACAGTACCGGTACACCATCTTGGTATAAATTTTGTTAGATTACAATGGAGACCGAAAAAATAAGAACAAAACAATTGTAATCTAATTCTAATTAGACAGAATGCTAATATTGGAATAAATTAGGAATCCAGACAGCCATTATATTATAAAGTTGAGTGGTAATACCTTAATCGTTATCTATATTGAGATCTTCGGGATCCTCTAGAGCTATTCTCTTAGTATTGAAGTCCATTAAGATATAATTACTCTTACGGAAACATAACTGGAAGAAAAGAATTTTAATTCAATAAGTTACTTCCCCAAACAGAACCTAGCTTGCCAGACAAGGCAACACATGCAGTAGAATGATCATAACACGCTTGATGTTAAATCTAGGAGAAAATACTCTGCCAATGCCCATATGAACAATATGATGATCAAAAGCCCTTTTAACAGAATTGAAGATTGACTTGGATAAAGGTACTTAATTGTGTGTCTATATGTTTTTGGTGCCATGTACTACAGGGAGAAATCCAAACTGCCAAGTCTTCTTGAATGTTTTATTTTTCCTAATTATGCTAGACACACAATTTAAATGCCAAATTCAATTTTGATGGCATCTCATACGTATCCAAGTATGTTTTTGGTGATTCAATATATTTCCAAGCTTTGGTTTAAGCTTTCAAGTGTTTTGAAAGTAGTAACACATCAATTTCTCTTCATCACAATCATGTGATAAGGATGGTATTAGACAGACAGATCACAAAAACCAACACTTACAAATGCAATGTAAATACATCCAATACCGCAGACCACTCCAATTTGACATGAAATTTTTATGAACTTGGCCCAATCTTCTTTTTCATGAATTTCTTTTTGTCTTAAATATTCCTCACTATTATGTTTTACTGGCATTGATCCACCTCCACTAGCCAGACATCTGATTGGAACCAATCTGACAGTGGCATCTGGAAAATAGGGGGAAAAAAACAGGGGATAAAAAATAGTCTGAGGTAAAATCAAAATTTTAAGAAATACAGTAATCATATTGGATAATAAAACCTAATTCAAAATGGATTTTAGTGATTGACCAATCTGATGACTGGTTGACTAGTGAGAGATTTTGTTTCATACTGTAGTTCAGACCTACTCTACTCTCATAATAACCTTTAGATCCAGGGTTCAATCCTGGCATAGGTCAAGATGATACCCTCAGATTTTTCAACCTGGTTTTCCCCCGTCCGTGATGCAGGTAAGAGGGGTTGACAATACATGGAAAAAGTGTTATTGACGTTCAGATTGGACAATAAACAGAGGCCCAGTGTGTTACAGGCCTCATTGTACCCTGCATAGCGTTGCCCGTGTTCATGGTGCAGAAATTCATTTCAATTCACTTCACACCATTTGTGTCATACTCTGCAGTATTTATGAATAGTAATTTTGTAACCATAAGATCACTTGTTCAATCATTCAGAACCAGTGACATTGTCACAACAATATACAATGGCGGTCGGACATAACAAGGAAGGCCGACGCCAAAACGGACGGTAGATTACGATTTCAACAGTAATGAGGTCGTACAGATGGAGACAAATAAATGAACTCACTGTTTATGGTCTTGGAACCGGCAATTTGCCTTGTAGCAACCCTAATAAATGGGGAAAGTCGAGAAAGCTGATTGAAGTTCATTTTTAACCTTGGGTATGCAGGAAGAGGACTTAAGACGTTACAGGACTCCAACAGAGGAGAGTTCTAATCACGTAGCCCACTCGAGTCAAAATGACACCAAACCAAAATGGACACAGAATCTATACCAACAGTATCAGAGAACAATGTCAAAGGGGACAAAACGTCAGAATGTACGATGCAACACTATAGAGTGTTGTAAATACATTTTTCAAAAAATATGAAAGTAAGATCGTTTCCCGATTATAAAAAACCTGTAAATTAAAGTGACATAAAATGGTGATGTGTTGGCTGGTAGCTTACATGACAAATCTGACCGAAGACAACTCGGACCCAGACTACTCAAACCAATCACGAGACTACTCGGACCAGGATTGCTTGAACCAAAAGAATTATGCATTATTATCCAATTTGTAAAGAATATTTATAACAGGAAACAATCAACACATCAAAACAAATCCATTCCCATTTGCCTTATTTTTCAAATTTTAGATCCAGGCCTAATCAGGTTAAAGAGTATTTTATAAATAACCTACAAATAAATATCAGTGAATTGAACGTCAAGTCGACAAATCATTTCAATGAGCATATTTGGTTATCACGGAATATTTATGTCAGAGCCATCACCCCTTTTTTGTAGTAGACTCGACTGAATAAGAATATTGCACGGGATTTTATTTCATTATTATCGGGGATTGGTTTCTCCATTGTTTACATAACAACAATCGGGTAGGAATTCTAAATAACAAACTAATATATGTAAATAACAAA